CTACACCAATTTCACCCCCTTGCAATTCTACAAGCTCGCGTGAGATGAACAAACCGAGGCCTGATCCGCCATACTGTACGTGCGTCCTAGGGCTCGCTTGAGAGAAACGAATGAATAGAAGCTTCTTTTCGTCGTCAGTAAGGCCACGACCAGTGTCTTGAACTGCGAAATGCAGGTAGACTTTTTCGCCTGTGCCCCAATCTGGGCTTTTGGTAACGTCCTTTTTCTTCGACCTTGGTGGAAAGTATGAGACTATGCTGCCGTCTTTTGAAGGCCGCTCTAGAGATGCTGCAAGGGTCACATTGATGATACGTTTCTCCTGGGTTGTGGTAAATTTGATTGCGTTTGTCGTAAGATTAATGAGGACCTGTAGCAGCCGCGATGGATCCAATTTCACCCACTCTATGCCAAACTTCTCGATGGACTCATCAATCTTGAAATTTAGCTTGATATCTGCCGTGTGCACCTCACCATCGAACATCTTCAGCGCTCGCTGAACCACAGTTTTGGGCATAACATCGCATGGTGTTACCAACAGCAGCGCAGAGTCCAGTTTCGACAAAGTTAGAATATCATCAACAATTCGCTTTTGGTGTTGTGCACAAAGAGCAATTATTCCGGACGCATCAATTGCGTTTTGCACCAACTCCCCAACCGCCCCTTGCGAAAGGTTACTCCCTTGAAGATCTGTCATCGACGTCGTGATCTCGTCTGCGCACTGCAGAATAGCGCTTAGAGGATTTCGCATTTCGTGGCTCGTGATATCAATAAAATTCTCCTGTTGTCGTTTCATCTCAACTGCTTCTTCCATTCTCCTCTTCTCAAAATGTTCTGCCCACTTCTGCTGGCTGATGTCTGTAATGCTACCAAAAATGACCTTGACTCTACCGTCTGCGCCTCTTTCTGGGAAAGCGCTGGCCAGTGCCCATGTATCACCTTTGTTACCGTTTTGGTCAATCCACGTTGTTTTGAAGCGAATCTCAGCATTCAGCGGGACCGCATTGTGAACGAGGTCTGACCACAGCTTCCTTAAAGTTTCCTTGTCCTCATCTTTGACAGAATACATCCATTCGTCAGTGCCATCGAGGTCTTTCGGTACTCCCGATATCTCGTACCACTTCTCATTACAATATGCAATCTTTCCCTTGGAATCCGCAATGAAGATCCCTACAGGAGCAAGTTCGGCCATGCGGGTAAATTTGGTCTCGCTCTCCACCGCCTCTTGGGTTCGTGCCGCTAATTGCTCCGACAGCTCAATCCGATCCTGAGCTGCGAGTCGCGCAGCTCGCCTGCCTCTAGCAATCTCCTCTTCAAAAAGAACAACAGAAGCCATGGCTGTGGCCAATTGCCGACTCAGAAGCTGCACATAAAGACTATAGTCATCATCATAGGGTCTCCGAGGATTAACGCCCATGACCAGGAAACCCATCGTCGACTCGCCGCCGGTCAAATGGACGGGACAGCACACAGCGGCTGTACATGGGTCACCAAACCCTCGCCATTCGATACCTTCAAGATATTTTGCATCAAGCGTGCCATCCTCAACCGACAAGAATATTGGTCGGTCGCCTTTGGTGGCTTCGCGGAAGACCCTCGCGAAATATTCGCTCCCATTTCTAAGATCGATAACCGGCGCTGCCGCGGGATGGCCATTGGGTATTCCAAGGGAGCCCTCGAGTACGCATTGCTTGATTCCCACACTGCTCTTGGAATGCATCGATGACGAGTCGCTGTCAGGGTCATCCGTAATTGAGTACAAAAGTACGAATGGAGAATCATGCTCGTTGTATTCCAAGCCCCTCAGACATTGTTGCCAGAAGCTCTTCAGATCCCGCGCCGAGGTAGTCTTTTCCCCTATTTCTCGAAGGGTCAACATGCGTCGCTCTGCAACTTTCCGCCGGGTTTTTTCGAACGCCGGATTGTACAGACCAACGACAGACCCGTCAGACCCGACAAGAGGTATTATCGACCAAGAAAAGTAAGTTTCTTCCAAGTGCCCCTGTTCAAAGGCCCTTTGGATAAAAAGGCAATCGTCGTCCTTCATTGTCGCTTGCCCTGTTGTAATGGCGTTTTGAAAGACCCCTTCTACGGAATCCCAAATTTCCGGCCATGCATCACGATAGCTCTGGCCCATTAGTTTGGGATGCTTCTGTCCCGCCAGCAATATATAGGCTTCGTTGTAGATTGCAATCAAGTCGGGACCCCAGTACATAGCGGCAGGATGCGGGCTCGCCATGATAAGGTTGCACATGCTACGAAGTTCTGGTGCCCACTCCTCGATTGGGCCCAGTGGCGTTGATGCCCAGTCAATACTCCTTGTGAACTGGATATGACGAGGTAGAGCCGGCGAGTTGGGTAGTCGAGTCCAATCAAAGAAACCTGGCTCATTTTGCGGGTGGACAAAGTGGTCGAGATCTCCAGCACAGGCAGCTCGCAAGATAGCTTCGCCGTTACGTGAGATCTGAGGTGAGCTTGTTACTGAGTCTGGTTTTGAAGTTGATCTTATTGGGAGATCGTGTCGTCCGCTACGCATGTCAGCTTTTTGGTTCTGTTGTTGGCGTCGGCCGGGCTCGCTCTTCTGTCCTGACGGACCACTTCGATGAATCCCCGTGCTGCTGCGATGATCGTCCACCGACACAGAGACGCGGGCGTTGCCAAAGTAATCTTGCGGTTCTTCCTCGACCTCTTGAACCCTATCAATGGGAGTAACAACGAAAGCTTCGCCTTCTTTGCCCAAAGACGAATTGGCTGGGAATTCAATAGATGGCGGATTCGAGACGAGCCCGGCCTCGGCGGAATCTGGGTTGCTCTTAATCACTCGAAATCGTTTTCTGAGTGAGCAACTGGTCCAAGTGGCTCCTGCGTAAAAGAACGAAGGAAGAGCAACATCAAGAGACTCATGGTCTTTCACATAGCTCATAGACCAAGCTTTAAAGTCTGAAAAAGCGGTTGTTGCAGTAAGGCCGGGTGATACCTGACCCGCTCTGCCGGAGATCATCTCTAAGGCTAGGGGAGAGGCCCTCAGTGAAGCGTTGGCGAAAACGATCTTGAGTGGTCCAGGTTCATAATTTGATTGCTCACCCAGATTCAGGATGAATGTCGGACGCTCATCCTGCTCCAGTAACTCAATCACGCCCACTTGGTTGAGTATTTGGACTGCACTATGCTTTCCTCCACTGTCAGGGGACTTTGCTGATTTACTTGAGGTGCCTAAGTAGCTGCGACCACTGCCACTTGGTGTACGAGGAGCCAAGGGTCGAGCTGGACTACCCAGATTCACAGAACCCCGCGCCAACTTCAAGGTTCTTACCCCTCCTGTGTCCTCTTTGCTTGCCTTGCTCAACATCCTTGCGCCTGCCTCGGAACTCGAAAGGCGGTAAGGCAAGTTCGGCCGCTGTTGGGGCTGATTTTGAAGGAAGAGAGGCGCTGAAGCGAAACTGTCGTCAGAGGGGTGGCGTCCAAGACCGACAGAATGGAGGTCGAGTCGAGATCGATGCCGAATATCTTGTTTCTTTGAAGGAGGCGGCCCACCTGCGGTGGAAAGATGTGGCGATACCCGAGACGAAGCACGCTTTTTGCTTGCCGAAGCAAATAACGGGTCACTGCAAAGGTCACTGCGGTGATTCGAGTTCCATGGCGCGCTGTGGGCTGACTTGGTAGATTCCGAGGTGGTTTGAGTGGCGCCTGCGTGCTCAGAAGTGCTGTCCCGGAGCCCAGTGTGAGTACTGGGCCTAGGAGTACTTGAATTTCTTAACCGCTTGCCGAGCGTTGGGGAAGTGGATTCCCGGCTTTGTTTACTATTGAAGCTATCCGGCGCCGTGAAGATGGACTGAGAAACATTCATAGAGGCTGCGGCGCAACCATTTGTGCTCCGGAACAATGTTCATGAGGGCGCAGAGAGGGTGTTCTGGTCGGGATCGTTGCGCCTGACATGGGGAAGGCTTCACAGTATTCCAATGTTAACGACGGCCATTCCCATGCCGATGAGACCAGTATTGTCCTTGGAAGGTGATGCAGATTGGTGCAAGGTATAGACTATGGGTATAGGGTTACCGGTAAGATTCGAAAAATTTCCCACCTGTACTTTGATAGACTTGCACACAAAAGGGTATGTCGAAGGAATGAATGCATACGGGATGAGTATTCTACTTTGCTCTAAAGTACGATATGCTCGGGAGCACCTTCCAAAAGTCAGCCACAGCCGCTCTACGCTTGCGCTAGAACGTCATATCGCATTTCGCATCTCAAATCTCACATTTTAAACCTTCTGCTTCATATCGTCTCTATAACATACCACTGTACTCGTAGACCGTAGTCAGTCACAACAACATTCATGTACGCGTGTTAACTATTCAAGTAAATAAGTCCGGCAAAGTGTTCGATCTACATCTCTTTCCTTGCTTTACAAACTGAGTGATGACCCTCATCTCATTAATCGGCAATCAGAACAAGCCTTGGAGCACGGAGCTGAAGCAAGAGCGCGAGCGACAGCGACAATGGGAGACTACGACGACGGGCGCAAGAAACACGATGAGAGTGAAGAGTATGTTGAGGAGAAACGAAAAGAATTCTCTGCCGAAAATCACGGTCAAGGGCAAGAGGATTTTACGTGGAGCAAAGGGAATATTTACGAAGAGAGGGAAGAGGATGTTGGAGACGGAGTTTAAGAGTAAACCAATCACCAGAAGCGGTGGGGAGGCAGATCTGGGAGTGTGATTGTTTCTCGTACCGTATGGCTACCTATGCTTGCCCGTAAATGCTTGTACTTTGTACCTGTATTACGTGCGCCAGGTCTCAAATCGCGCCCAAGCTAGAGTAAGCTACAGCGCGGAACCTCCGCTTAGAGACGTGGGCTAGTGGACGCTCTGGGGGGAGACTTTTTTCCAGGCCTCGCGAAAGAATCTTTTGCTCGAAAAGCAAAGCAAAGTGCTCATGACGCGCTAACAATAATGCTCGCTTCACCAAGGCAGCTGCCTTACGCTCCCACTCCATACAGCTACATGCCAACTTCATCCCTCTCAGCCAAGATCAACCTGGACGAAGTATCTTCTACACCATTCATGAAGCCCACCTTTCTCTCGCTGAACAACCAGCACATCCAGGGCTAATATGCTTGCAACCCAGGAAGTGAAGCTCTCAGAGACAGCTGTGGAAAGGGATCTGAATGATTCCCTCGCAGAGATTTACAGCATCATCATTACCCTGGACGGCCTGGAGAAGGCGTACATCAAAGATTCGATTCCGGAAACAGAATACACTGAGATATGCAGTCGCTTGCTAAAGCAGTACAAGTCGAATCTGAGCGATGACACGGTCGCTCGGTCCTTCGGAGATTTGGAAACGTTCAAGCGCCAGTGGGATGTATGATCTCCACTCCAAAAGGCTGTCCTTTCTCTAAGCGACATCTAACAACGCCAGATCGAATGCCCCCGCGCAACCGAACGCCTCCGGGTCAATCTCCCTGCCACCATCGCCGACCCCTCCAATTCACACACCTCGACTTCCACCCCCCATCCCTCGACCGCCCCCTCCCAACCTTCAGCATCAGGCTCCAAGATCCTGCTTGCAACCGAAAACTTCATAACCTTTCTTGACGCCTTGAAGCTCAACATGCTTTCAAAAGATGCTCTACATCCGTTGCTTGTCGAGCTCATCCAATCCGTAAATGAGGTAACGTTGGGAGACTTCGAAGGGAGACCGAAGATTATCAGCTGGTTGATTCGCTTGAATGGGATGAGGGCGCAGGAAGAATTGTCCGAGGGAGAAGCGAGGGAGTTGGTGTTTGAGATGGAGGGAGCATATGCTGGCTTCAAGAAGACGTTAAATTGAACTTCAGGGACGATCCTGCCATCAGTTAGTGGGTCCCTCTGAAGATGCTACCCTGCGTAGACGCCGTCTTTCGGGGGCTTCCGCGTCGCAGTCGGTCGAGGCAAGCTTCGTGGACCTTATGTTCGCTCGAAACGATGGGCTGTCTACCTCGTTGTGGCACTTCATCGACCTCCGCCGGAAAACTGTATTGAGCAACGTAAGGGACAGGCGTTGTGTATGTCCGCCGAGGGATGACTGCGAACAGGCGTTGAAGCCTAGGAGGAACGGTCTGTTACAGAAGCATGCAAGGGGTGGAAAGTTCACCTCCATTGGTTTAGCGTATTTTCAAAAGAGCCGGAGTCAAGTCAAAAGACTTTCTTTTGATATCATCTATCAGATGTAGCACCTGATAAAGGCATTGAAATACCGCACGATGCGAGCCACCGCAGCTAAAACAACAGTCTTTTGACACAGAGGATGCCTAGAAACTGAACATGGAAGAAAATCGTAATTCATGGTGCTGGGTACATGACCTTGCGAGCCTCGGTAGTGACTGTGCTCCTCGAATAGCTGGAGATAGTGCGTCACATTTACCAGCGCCAGGCGCGAACCGCTCCCCTACCCCTTCAAAGCATTCTGAGCGACTTTCCCACCCCATCTGCGCCACCAATCGTACTTTGCTCATCCGAGTCCGGGTAGAAGAATGCCGCCAGCGCAATGATCACATAGGCTGCAATCAGTAACGCCCCTTCCAGATAGTTGCTCCGCCCGTCTAGCACTAAGAAATTTACTATGAATGCGCTCACAAACAAGCTGATCGTTTCAAACAGCGAGAAGTAGAGACTCATGTCTTTGTCTAAGATCCAGCCAAGCAGCACAATCACCGGCGTCACAAACAGTGCGATCTGAATGCTGCTCCCCACAGCAACACCAATGGCAAGGTCCATCTTGTTCTTGCTAGCGACAGTGACAGCCGTGACGTGCTCGGCAGCATTGCCAACTATGGGTAGGATGATGAGACCCACAAAAGCTTCCGAGACGCTTGTATTGTCGACGAGATAATTGATACTTGCCACCAGAAATTCAGCGCAAACGGCAACGAGTCCGGTCGACACGAGAAGCAGGATTATGGCTGAGGTACGAGACATGTATTTTTTTGGCGGAACAGCCTCTTTGCTATCAACGGAATGCGTTGAGTTGACTGGGAGCACGTAGGGTTGAGGTTGCAGTGGCGGTACCGTCTGGGCCTGGCGTGCTGCTTGGACTTGATTGAGGCGACTGGGGAGAGAATTCGACCGGTGCAGCGCCCGAGGAGTGATATTAATAGCTGGAGCTCCGCTTGGTGCGAGACCCGTTGGGTTCGCGGTCGAAAAGACGGTGCTCGACAACATCTTGGGCATTGCTGGCATTGCCGGCACTACGTCGCGAACAGAGAGACCACGTATGTTGAAGGGACGCTTTGGCGAGCTTTCGGGTTGACTTTGAATGTCCTGTGCAAACCCAACATGAGGAGTGACTGCCCTATTAGCGTCCGATGGTCTCAAAGATGCAGCCTTCTCGGATGCATCTATCTCCTTCTCATCCTTGTTGCCCGATTTTCGATACCTCTTTTTCGATTTCTTCTTTGGCTTGGTTTCGGGTGATTTGCTACCAGGACCTCCTTTCTCATTCTCAAAATCCCGGAAGTTGATCGTAGTTTCCCTTGTAGCGGCGGAGACGACGTCATGCTCACCGTCAGTATCAGCTTCGTCACCACTGGTAATGCCGCCCAACCCAGGTGAGGGTAGAGCAGGGTGATCAGTCCGAAGGTCTGCGAGAGCTATATCGTTTTGTTCGACGTTGTGTGCAAATGTGGAGGCTGACGGTGTACGCAAGGTTGAAGGTACGGAAGGCGTGTCCTTTGAGCTTACACTGGATTTACGGCGTCTCCGGCCTCTCAGAACTCTTTTAATGCGCTTGGCGGTCGTGTTCGATCCCGAAGATCCATCGGTGTCGCTACCACTGGACGAGCTTGAAGTGTCTGATGAACTAGAAGACCCCAGTATTTCGGCCAGAACGCCAGGATAAGACTCTTCGTCGATTACATGCTGTGGTGTACTTTGGTACATGTACGCGTGCGATTTCATTTGAAAAAGCAGGTATAACACATACACCAGAAGTAGAATCTTTCAGAGGTAAGCGGCGAAGCGGCATCGAGAGCTGTTTGAGAACTCACAATACTTGTACCTCTGCTGATTTGCAATACCGCCTTGTCCGCGGTCGTGTTATCAGTGAACGAAGCATGGAAAGCAGTCTATAAACGCCCACTGCAATCAGTCTCGATGAGCATGAAAATATCGCCATCATAGGTAGGGGGTACAAGTGCAGGCAGTCTTCAAGATCCTCTTGAAGTTGCTTACCGGCAAAAGTAGGCTCATGACGCTCAAGGAGAGTAGACATGCGCTCATTTGCGTGACAGTGCTGTTGTAAATCTGCAACTTTCTTAGCCTTGATCGCGATCCTAAAGAAGCCTCACATACCTGTTCACGGAAGCGAAGCCCACCAAACAAGAAGCACATGCCAAGGATGAGCAGGAGGTTGGCGAGGATCGATCCCAGAAGTGAGGCTTGGACAATCTGGATTTCATCCTTTGCAAAGGTCAGTCTGAGACATGGGAAGAATTGAGTAGAAATACGGACCTTGGTAAGAGCAATGCTGTGGTTAATAACATGAGAAGGGTAAGCTTATGCAACATGTACCATCGAACAAGACGGAGGACACAAGGGGCAGATAACAAAAAACGCAATCGAGTTGCAGGTGCTTTTTCGGGCTACCCATGGCTCTCTCTTGTCTGCTGTCCATTAGGTAGAACATACATGCTATAGAGCGGTTATTAAAGATATCCGATCCGGAGTGACGGAACGTACAAAATGATGAGCTCTACCGCATTGCCGAAGGTAATGTTCATCAGGGCTCCAATGGTGTCACCCAAGTCGCTAGCAACGCTTTCCGTGGCATGACTCAGTAGGCCAGCAAGTGGTATGATGGCAATAGCGTTGATTGCAAAGACGATGGTCTTATTTACACCAGCTGCCTGAACAGCTATGCCCACGGGGACAAATACCAGAAGGATGTTGAGCCAACTCGAGAGGAATATTTCTTTACAGGCTTCGTAGAAGCGAATCAGGATATTGGGTTTTTCTTCTGGCTCTATGGAGGAAGATGCCTCTCCATGTTCGGCGTCAAGCGGAGGAGGAGCTGCTGGTGGCAACGCTGACGAGGTCTTGTCGGCCACATGATTGCTTGTGGTATTCGCGGAGGCTTTGTGATGGTCTGAACGGACCCCTGAGGATGGGGGTCGAGTGGGTACATCTGCATCACTATGGGCAGATGGGTTGGTTAAGGGGATGGCAGGAGGCTTATGGTCTGCTCCAAACGGGTCGTCCGAGGCATACGCTTTGCGGGGAAAAGACCTGATACGATCTAATAAGCTCGGCTCGTCAGAAGATTCCACCATCTGGGTTATAAGGAAGAAAGATGTAGAGACTAGAAGTTGTTGAATAGTGTGCAGATAAGCAAGCACAACCGTTTGGTCGACCGTTTGTTCGAATTATTAAATATTACCCATCTTGACTTACTATTACTAAAAACACCACTAAACACATAAATGACGGTGGTTCGGTATCTGTCCAGACCGGGGGAGCAACCGCGCTAGACGAAAGGGGTTTAGAGCAGACTGCAAGCTTGATTTACCCTAGGTACATTTAGATTGTTCACATGCATCATGTGCTAGGGTCCGGGAGCAGCTCACGCAACCAGTTAGAACAAAAGTGAAGGTTCGCGAATACGAACGGTCTTTATCCTTTAGTCCTTACCTTACACACACTGTCTTCCTCAGCTACCTTATAAAAGTCTTCACAGCCCTCGCATTTCATGGCAGAGCGGGCGAGACAGAAGCGGTCCTTACACTTGGCGCCTTATCTCCGATCACTCAAGGAATTTGATATACGAGTACATATAGGGAGACAACCACTATCATTGTTATCCTCATCTTCACCTTCATCATCATCATCGTCACTCGCGCCAATTCCTTAGATTCTTACAAGTGCCAAGGAACGAATATTTTGTATGGCTGCCGCAATCATCGCATCATACACTGCCGCAGCTTGCTACCCTTAGAAGTGAACATGGTCGTTCATCCTCAGTACATGACGGGGTTGTCGATGTCAATGCCGTGGTGATGGACGCTCCCTCTCTACAGCTTCAGGAGACGCTCAATGGCTCCGTTCAACGAGCATTGCTATCGCACCGACCAATACTGACCCACCTTAATGCGGATACATCATGGCTACTTCAGTTGCCCTATCCTTCAGATGCGGAACGGCCTCCAGGACGATCACGATGGAATATCGTTTTTGATCCATGGCTAACTGGTGGCCAGTCTGATGTCGCATACTGGTTCAGTCAGCAATGGCATGCAGTCGCATCAAGTGTACAGACTATGGCTGAGCTTAATGACTTGTTAAGGGAGATCGAGAGGATGGCGCAACTCGGTGCATCATTTTCAGGGGAGAGAACTCAGGACTGTTTTGACCAAGATTCGAAACGGTCGTACATTGATGCAGTCGTCATATCTCATGAATTCACAGACCACTGTAATAAAAATACGCTTCTTGAACTCGAATCTGATACGGCCGTATTTGCAACGAAGTTAGCGGCCGATCTCATACGATCCTGGGATCATTTCAGACTGGTCCAAGAAACACCACCTTTTTCCGCAACAGATTCCGACTGGAGAAATACTTCAATCAACCCGTTGCCCAAGTGGCTAGGGATCTCGAGAATGGTCACTCAGAGTGACGCGTTGTACTATCACTCAGCCATATTAGTGACATTCGATTTGCATTCGATAGACGTCAAGGGACCTTCAGAAGGTTCTACGGCAGCGGAGGCAATTATATATACACCTCATGGTATCCATGCAAAAGACCTCAGTCATTTACCTTCGGCCACTCCTGCTATAAAGACTCTCGCGCTGCTCCACGGCCTACACGACATCAAGATCAGCGTCAAGCAGCTCAATCTCGGCGCTCACAATGGGCTTCAGGCCCAGAGAATGTGTCAAGCTAAGTATTGGGTGTCGACGCACGACGAAATCAAGAAAGGATCTGGCTTGATTACACCTTTCTTGTATCGAACGGTACTGACATTGCAAGAAGCAATAGAGGAGGAGAGGAGAGCGAAAGGGAGGATTTCAGACGAAAGCGAGCTATCAGATGTGAGAGAAGTTGCGTTCGTGGAACTATCAAACGGCGAGAGCTTGCTACTCGTCTGAGCTTATGCTATAGGCCTGGGCCATAACTAGACAGTCCTGATTATGGATCGTCTCTACATGATTAGGTGCTACTGGAATTGTTGTAGAGGGGATAATGAAATTGCTTTAGTATGAAGCATCATTTACCGCGAGCTCTCACCTGATCAATGACTCAACAATCAATGCCTGTAGCGTAATAATGTCCGAGACATTGTTTCGAATCAAATTGACATGAACACAGAATGTAGAGACCAATAACCCCCTGCGTAGGTGGTTGATCCCTGCAAGGGTGGTCTTCTCGTGACGGCCCGTTTTTTTTGCGCGTCAAATGGGCGGTGTGCTCCTACCGTCCTACGTTCCTCCACAGCCTTCTTCCACTTTTGATTCAACGACATCTCTTCTGATGTCTCTTGACTTAGCCAGTATTTCACATCCCCTTGCCCAGCTATAAGCTCTCGATCTTTTGTCGACATCAAAGCAACCCTGCATGCTTTGTAGCCGACAAGCCATCATGGGTTTCTTCAAGCCTCTCAAGGGCGACCACTCGACGGCACATGAGGAGGCTTATCCCTCTCATCCAGGACCACCACCAGTACGCGAGCCGACATATCAAGCACCTCCAGGGCCACCGCCATCACATCAATTCCACAATTCTTCGGCTCACGGCCCATCACCGGGAGGAAACGAATACGCTCCACCCCCAGGCCCTCCACCAGGCTGGCAGAAGACACCTAGCCAAACTCCCTCGGCTCCGCCTAATACCGACGAGGAACCTCCGCCATATCAGTACGTATTTTTGGAGTCCATATTCCCTCTTATAGACCCAATATTGATTCTTGAGACAAGTCCTGGGAATTGTTATTCTCGAAATATGTTCCAGAGCTCTATAGCCCCCTCAAGTTAGCAATACTGACTGCGGAATTATAACCCAGTGACTGGACAGTTGTCCCTGACAACTCACTCCTTCCACCACCGCCAGTGTTGGGCCACAGAAAGAGCCCTTCAAGCAATGCCAATCTATCCGATGCAGATCGAGCACATGAGTGGTGCAAAATAAACCCGATGATAAGACCGCATCAGCCCACCCATCTTCAGCATGTTGCAGTCCTTAAAGGGGATGTGCGGCTTCTGAAACCTCCGGAATACAAGGGCGATTTGTTGATGCCGAATACCGGGTTTTGGAAAGGCTCTACGCGAGCGGGAAGCAAGGATTCCTGCCTCCTAACATCTTCGCCTATTTACTTCGCCTACGCGGACTCCCCTCTTCGTACGAGAAACGCCAAAACAATTTACTTTGAAGTCAAAGTGCGATCTCTAGGCCTTGGACGAGGGGCAGACGAGAGCTCCATTGCTCTCGGCTATTGCGCGATACCCTACCCTACCTGGCGTCTACCTGGATGGGAGCGTGGCAGTCTTGCCGTTCATGGCGACGACGGACGGAGATACATTAATAATACCTGGGGGGGCAAAGATTTCACTTCACCAATCAAAACAGGAGATACGGTTGGCCTGGGTATGACATTTGCAGTTGCGGCTAGCGTTCCAGGCTACGAAGCTCAGCCGAAGTGCGAACCGACGGTCAAGGTCGAGGTATTTCTTACAAGGAATGGTCAGAGAAACGAAAGCTGGGACTTGCATGAAGAATTAGACAAGGACCAGGATCTTGGCGTCGATGGGCTCGATGGCCAGTTGGATCTATACTGCGCTGTGGGAACCTTTGGGGGGGTTGATTTCGATGTTTCCTTCAACAATCGGAATTGGTTATGGCAACCTAGATGATTAGCGAAAGGTACCCCTTGACTTCCGCAGCATACCATGAGCTGAGACTCACTGTTAAAAATCTACTGGCAGATCGAGGTCTCATGCTTATTCCCGAGCACGCCAACACGGCCCTCTGCCGCAATCTAATCCGTCGTGCATAATGTACATGGCTACATGCATTCTATCGCGTCACAGGACTACGGCTTCGGGGGGAAGCCGGAAACCTGCGTTAACGGTCGATCAGGGTTTCAACAACAATACGGAGACCATTTTGCATGAGCCTTCTGGAAGCAAGCTCCGATCGGGAGACAGGACTGCATTACAAAAAGCCCGCTACTTTGCTACACCTCATTCGGCCAGAGTTGAGAGATCTATCGGAGAAAAGGGCTTTCAGCAGCCAGCAACTCTAGAATCGCTTCTCCTAACTCGGTTCTACGAAAGGTAGGTTATCCACATGGTGCGCCACGCGGGTGGCAGAACTGTAGTGCTACGCAACTTACAGGAATGGAAGCGGGCCTATGGCTGCATAAAGAACGCATCGCCGATGAAATCTCCAATACTAGGGATTCATGCCAGCTCTGTACCTATCATTGAGGCGTCAATCCTACACTATCTTCGCCATTTGCATGTCTCACCCCCAGCGCAGTGGTGATCGATCGTCTGATTGTTGATGAGAGAAGAGATGAAACAGAGTTTGCCGTGCTATGCGGCATCTGGCCCCTTTTTTCTCGTAACGAGGTGGGCCTATCGTATAACTGAAGAGTCGCTATGTCAGCCGTTGATGCATCTAGCGTGACTCTGGATGGCGGCTTACGAGTTGTGGGTCCGTGGAAACGTGGAGGGCACCTCGCTCGTCTTCCATGCAGAGTCTTCCATGCAGAGGACAAAAAGGAAAGTCGAGTCGTTTTGAAAAAGATCTTCACGGGCCGGAAGGGCAATGCATCAGAGTACGCACGTGATGATTGCCCATGTCGATGACTCGTGGACTTGTTTGACTCCTGGACCAGCTGTCTTGTTCGAGAGAATTTGGGGCAGGCGGGTAAAGATTGTGCGCGCGCGGGGTTGAACGTGGATTTGGATTATCCTCCACCCCGGCGACTAAAATGGACCAGGTTGCGGCTCGCAGTGTTGGTTCGATTTTAAGAAATTTAAGAGGGGCCACTTGGTCTGGGCGAACCAAAACCTGGCTTAAGCTGCTTAAGCTGCTTAACTTTGCCCTTTTCACAAAACCCACTTTCTCCCGCTCATGCAGAATTATGTAGGTATGTGCTCTGCCTTTCTTTTCTCAACGGTGAGCGCGGGACTGGCGATCGTATGATTATGCAACAGACTCTGACCTTGAACAAGCCGGAATGGTCCCATTCATAGTGTCATGCACCTCTCCATTTATGGGTGGTACCAAGTTACTTGCCTTTCTCCCAACCCCATTTCATTTGCGCTACTCCTCTGACCCTACATCAAGCCACTCTGCTACGCGGTTGACTAGTGTACATGCATGCAAAAGCAAAACTTTCAACAAATTCCATTATATCGCATGCCTCCATTCTCGCTTCATTCCCACCTCATGTCTCTTTTCACTCGTCTCCCTTGCACAAGGGTCGGTGCATTCTCTACAGCATCACGGTCGTTGCTAATTCTCCTTTGAAACCGTCATGTTTTCAGCTTTCAATCTCTTCGTGTCACTATTGTATGTCTGACAGGCCCCTTCAACGTCCCTTCGGATCGCCCCATACGATGCTGACAGTATCGGATGTAGCCTATATCGATATCTTCGCCTAGTCGTGAATCTTTTTGCCTTCAGCAGGCTTCGACCAATACCCATACCGGACATCCCACGATTGACATCACAAGATGTCACTGTCGTCATTCCTTCAATAGAAGGGGACGGCGAGGTATTGTGGGAGACTATTCGCAGCATCCTCGCGACCGAGCCATTTGAAATCATCCTGGTGACCATCGACGCGCATTTGACTCGGGCAGAACTAATGATCAAGCACATGTGCACCTCTAAAGTAAGAATACGCAGTGTGTCGTATCCCAATAAGCGCCGACAGATGGTTCATGCTTTGCCCGATATTAGAACGGACATTACAGTTTTTGCAGACGACGATGTTCTCTGGCCGCCGAAATTGCTGCCCTGGATGTTGGCACCGCTGGAAGACGAATCCTATGGTGGCGTTGGCACAAACCAGAGGCTCCGGCGTGCGGAAGCTCCAACTCTCCAGCAAAGGGTTTACGGCTACTTGAATGCCTTGTATCTGGAAAGGAGGAATTTCGATTGTGCATCATGTATGTACATGGACGGAGGCCTGCCGTGTCTTTCTGGACGGACGGTGGCATACCGAAGCAACATACTCAAGGATAAGGCTTTCATCGAAGGTTTCACCCAAGAAGTGTGGCTTGGGAGATACCAGTTGAATGCAGACGACGACAATTTTATTACAAGATGGCTGGTTTCCCATGACAAGAAGATAGGCTACCAGTATCACAAAGAAGCGGAAATTTTGACTACGCTTGAAGACAATCCCAACTTTGTGAAACAGTGCTTGCGGTGGTCTCGGAGCAATTGGCGGAGTAATATTACGAGCATGTTCTGTGAGAGACATGTTTGGAGGTTAGCGGCCGATCCCCAGAAGCCAGGGCCCGACTGGTGGTCCATGCTCATCGGAAGCTAACGTCGAAAGTAGAAAGCAGCCATGGAGCACGTACGCCGTCTATCAAACGACACTGTTGCAGTGGGCCTTTGTCTGGGATTGCCTGCTTCTGTATCTCTATCACACAAGCACTTCAGCTTGGAGTTACGACGCAAGGATGCTGGGCCTCGTCACGCTCCTGAGCTGGATGTTGATGAGCAAATTTCTCAAACTGCTGGGCCATTACATACGCCATCCGGTTGACTTTCTCTTATTGCCCGTGTCAATTATTTTTGGTTATTTACACGGGCTAATCAAGGCTAAGGCCATGATATCTCTTAATGTCGTAAGTCAATACGCCGGTTCTCTTGGCGCTGCCGGTGATGTCTCCAACGGTCGGTGACGCCTCCGTCCATTGCCTCACTGACCATCTTCATACAGACCGCGTGGGGTACCCGCGATGGAGCAGACGACGACGACGGCTCCCGCATGATACGGGTCAATCGAAAGCAACAGGAGGCCGGCAATACCTTCTCTATCCTCGAGACATCCTCTTACCCCAATGAGAAATGCGAATATCCGCCCAGCTTCCTACGGTGTACAACTGTTTAGAGAGACGAGGCCTGGGAGTGCACGGTCGCAGGATTGAAGATTTGAAGTTTCCTTTCTTAGCGTATGTATCAACACCAAACACCATTTGTACGAGCTACTACCCGACAGCCTGTGTCTAGCGTTGGCGTCCTGGTTCTGCAAAAGTCTTTTGGTTTTCTCGGCTTGCAACAAAAGCCGGCAGATGATGAGCTAGGATTTTACCGTGATAATAATAATAATACATAGACCATTTTTATTCCATCATCATCATATGATTGCTACCTACCTGCAATACTTCATCGAACCTCGTTGATTCGTTGTCAAGCAAACTCCGTCTCAGGATTCGCGGGCGGGGAAACTGCCTAGGCATCGCATCCTTGTCTACCTTCGGCGGTCTTTTCTCCCGCACCCAGTCGCAGGTACCTCATGCAGCCAAAAGAGTACTTAAGGCATAGGATCGCCCAACTCGAGCTGATGCATGTCTCCCCTCCGTGGGCAGGTACGGTGAGTAGTCATGCACTCTGACCGGTGACAAAACAGCTCTATCAATGAAGTGATGGACCTCACTCATTTGATTGCTGGTTGTTCGATCACGAGCTTTTGAATTTGCTACATAATTTCTATCTATCTATTTTCCCGTTCCCAACCAAGATCCATGAAAGTATGCTCCCAGGCATGTGATAGCAATCATGGTCCATTCTTCATCATCATCATCATTATCATCACAGACCGTGCACGTTTGCCTCTTCGAATCATGTTCGTTTTCGGGTTCGATTTCGAGAAGGGAGATTGATTGGTGGCTTGAGCGCCTTGATTGGTGGCTGCATAAAGTATATGTATTGTCATGGAAGTTCGGTAGACATCGAAGATTTATCCATGGGGGCGTGGATCTGTTTTCTACATCTGTAGAGTACCAAGTCAACCAAACAGTGTGTTCGCCCTAACGTGGATCTAAAAGATTCCTTGTCCTTTACTCCGCCTTCCATCGACACGACATGCTCTCGGAGAATTTATCGGCCTCACCACCAGTCCGCATTTCGAGTCAGTATTATTATTATGATTAAGAATATGATTATGATTATGATTATGGTTATGATTATGATTATGATTATTATGATTATGATTATTATTTTGATGTGTTCCATACTCCAAGAGAAAGCACAGACGCATTTCTTTTCCCATCCCACCTCTTCACCCAACAATCACCCCACCTTACTAGTCTACCCGTAGCCCCACCATGCAGCAACACCACCATCATCCATGAAATCACACCGACCGAAAGGCAACTCCCGCCCTTACAGAATTCACGAATCACGATACCGGATAAATTCAGACCACAAGCTAATCGCATCATAGCGGCCGGCAGAATTGACTACGAGGTACCTAATGATGACTTGCATTGATTGTCAGCCACCAAGCAGCTCGCTATGAGCGGGAAGTTTGATCTGCCAGGACAGGGATATTCTCCCATGCAGGTCTGTTAAGCACGCAAATCTACGGTATCTACCGAATAACGTTGAAAAGCAGTCGGCATCTTCTCCACCCATCTTCCCCACTCATCTTCACCCACCCGTCTTCACCCACCCATCTTCACCCACCCATCTTCAACCACCCACCTGCACCCACCCACCTGCACCCACCCACCTGCACCCACACACCTTCTCCATCGAGCCCGCATGCTTGGAATCGTGGGGGGCCGAAGCTTTGTCCACACATGCTCGGCTGAGGCTCCGTTAGTCTTCAGAAGGGGTAACAACAACGACGACAATAACAACAATCACAACAATCATAACAATAACAAAAACAACAACAACAATAGTAAAGAGCCACCAACACCAACATTATTATTCACCATGACAGTGGAGTGGAAGCGATTCGCCTTACCAACGGCAAACACACAGGCATTTGCGGAGGTCTGAGCGGACGGCATGTGAGTGGTCGGCTATTTTGGTACGATGAGGGAGAACAACGCGCCTTGTTCCACCATCGAGCCATCGAAACAAGCAACTTGTGGAGAACCATGACAGGGAAAAAGCCGCTTCCATCGGCCAAGACAGCATCAAACGAGGCGTACGCAGCTGTTCCTTCTGGTCCTGAATAATCCATCTCTGACAATCGGCCGTCTCTATGTACCGTATTCTGTCGGAATTTCGAGCGGCCACTACTGCACGTAGGCGAAAGGGCAAGTTGTCAACGGAATTCTGCCTGCTGAAGGCACTTTCATGATGTTTTTGAAGCTACAAATCATGTCTTCATTTAAAATTCTACATTCGGACCGCCCAAGCTACTGGATGTTCCCCGTCCTCTCCTTAGTCTTTTCTCTCAGATCTCTTTGACTACGCAGCGGTGCGGGCCATACGCTTCCTAAATCATCCTCGGCCGCTGCTACAATCGTGTTGCAGGCAATGATCGGCGTGAAGCTGAAGTCAATGGGTTGGTATTCTTGACGTCGCACGGTCCGAGTCTTTCCTCGTGGTTACAGCTTCTGTTGCATGAAGGCCTGCGCAAACCTTCGCTGCTGGTTCATGGACCACTGCTAGTCGTTCATCACCAAGGCTGCACTTCACCAGCTTTGGCTTTCTGAACGCGAACTATCTTGTCGCAATTCAACAAGCATAATGGGTCAAAGGCTTGTTTCAACTAGAACATAAAAGAGTCAGCTGTATTGGCTGAATGCAGTATGCTGAGGTTCACCTTTCTCATTGCATCGACCGTGGTCTCTCCCATCTCATGGGCCAAGTAATCACGCTTGATCAAGCCTACCCCGTGCTCGCCGGTCACGGTGCCCTCCATCTCAACGGCACGCTTGACCATCCTGTGAACGACCTCTTCGGCTGTTTTTCGTTCTTTGTCGTTGAAGAGGAGGATGGCTAAGAAGGATCAGCCTCGGTCTTCTTCAATCGGATTCATGCCAGCTCACCATGGAAATTGCCATCACCCACATGTCCAACCATGGCCGCCAACAAGCCACTGCTAGCCATATCTTCTTTTGTCTCCTCTATGATATCTGGCAATCTGCTGATAGGAACCGCGACGTCAGTTGTCCAAACATGATCGCTTTCGTCTCTTCTTTTCGCCATTACACTCCAAAGAGCCTCTTTCCTTGCACTCCAAAGCTCTGCAGCTTCATCCGCGTCTTTGGCGAAATCGAAGCTCTTACTACCTTTGCTCTTTGCCAAATTTTGCACTAATCCAATCGACTCCTTCACTGCCGACTGTGTGCCCGAGAATTTGAAAAACAACGTCGGTACTTCCTTCCATGCCCTGCTGGTGGAGCCACTCTCGTTAATACAACGCATCTGGACATCGTCCAGAATCTCGACTGCCGCAATCGGCACCCCTTCACCAACGACCCGTGACACACATTCGGCTGCCTCCCGAATAGTCCCAAAGCTAGTCACCGCGACGCTTTCGTGCTTCGGCTTCACAGTGACTTTTAGAGTAGCTTCAGTGACAAGACCCAGAGTGCCTTCGCTTCCAATAAACATCCGTGTAAGATCGTATCCAGCGCTACTCTTGCGCGGTCGTTGCCGTGTTTTTATGACAGTCCCATCGGCCAAGACCACAGTCAGACTGAGCACCCAGTCCCGCATGGTACCGTACCGATATGCATTAGTACCCGAGCATCCTGTGCCGACCATGCCGCCAATCATTGCGCCTGGTCCGGGATCAGGGGGAAAGAATAGGCCCTCTTTCCCCAACTCCTCATTGAGGAGCTCCCAACCCAGTGCTGGCTGAACGATGACATCTAGATCCTCCTTATGCAATTTGAGGATCTTGTCCATCCTAGAGAAGTCCACACAGATGCCACCCCGGGTGGCCGAAAATTGGCCTTCCAAGCTTGTGCCGCCAGAATAGCCCGTTACAGGGATTTTCCGCTTATGGCACACTTTCATGATCTCGCTGACCTCTTCCGTTGTTGAGGGAGACACAATCATGAAAGGTCGCTCACTGTCCTTGGTAGTGTACGAAGACCAATCAGATCCCGAGTGGGATTGCAGATCGCCCTCTTCTGTAGATACATGCTCTTTGCCAACGATTGATACCATATCAGTCCAGCAAGCTTCAATATTTGTAGGCGAAGTATTGTGCTTCGGTCCTTTCGGCTCCATAGATGATAGAGGTGCAGTGGACAATGGCGATACTTTGTCAGGTTTCATGGTTCCAAACCAGTAAGCTAGGGCGCATGAGAAGACGATTGCTGCAGGAGTCAGCTGTGAAGAGTCCCGCTGCTGAGACGTGCGTACCAAAGGTGAAGGCGGATTGGCGGGCGAAATCGCTAGTAGGACTCATGGACGCAAAGCGAGCTTCTGCCTCACGCTGAGCTTGGATCCTTCGTGCCGTGCTCTCGTATAGTTGACCTCGAAATGTCTTCTCCACCTCGTTGGAGAAGGACTTTGGCGAGGTGTGTAGATTACGCCTGCCTCCAACCGGAAGTGGTCGAGAGCATTGACGCGAAAGGGGCATATGCCTCAGGCTGCGCAGAAAAACCAAAGACGGACAGGACATCTTTCCAGTCATAGTAATAGAATAATGACCTAGAGAATGGAAAGGAGAAAGGAATGCTATGGATAACGCTTTTTCCATAGAGCAAAGGTGGGGAAGCTTCGAAAAGGTCATTCGCGGGTCGATTTCCCGTTTTCCCGCTCCAGGTCTTGGCAATCCTTCTAGTCTACTTGGGGAGTAGTAAGGTACCTACTCCAGTTGAGACGCTCATTCTAACACTGCAATCATCAAATCTCTGCCTTCCTTGAATCAATAAAAACCTTTACAGGCACACCGATGTAGACAGCATAGAGACTATTTTATTTCTTTCACCATTTCCTCTCTTCTAGAGTCTGTGTCCTGCTGAAGCTAGCATTCGTCTGCTCACCTATATCTCCTATAAACATAATGGCAGAAAATCTGGCTTATATTAAATCTGGCTACTATGGTTATCCCGAGACCAAAGAAGGACCCAAGATTCCATTCTCATACACGCCAGGATCGAATCCTGTATTGCGAGGTCTTCCGCTGGCAGTAGCAGGTTCAGCGTGCGTCAATTGTTTCCTACAATGACATGTCCCCTGTTAACGCTCTGAAAGTGTTGCAAACATTCGTCTTCTCTCCACTCTGCTGTGGGGAAATGCTGGGTTCAGTGCCCTGCGTAACGTGGATCTCGATGGTTACGATTCGCGCTGTGATCCGACCGTTGTTCCAATAGACAAGTCTGATGCCGACATTTCTGCATCAATCAAGGCTCTCAGTTCGTCTTATAACCCAAATGTAACAAGCACAAACCGTCATTACAGCATTAAAGATTACCACTCCGCATACGAAGCGGGCAATGTGACACCCACAGCGGTTGCTGAGGTTTTGCTTGATCTGATCTCCAAGCATCCTAAACACAGGGATGCATTCTTGGAAATAAAAAAGGAGCGTGTCATTGCTGCAGCTGAGGCGTCTACGCAAAGGTACAAAGCAGGCAAAGCGCTGGGCTTGTTTGACGGCGTACCAGTAGGTGTGAAGGGTGAGAACCTCCCTTTCTGCCTTGATAATTGGCATTTTCCCCTTCGTTTTCGCTATGGGTCTTTAAACTTCTACATAGTCCTTTAGACCCTATTTCCCCTTCGAGAGTGTAATCATTGATCAGGTGTTCAGATGAGGTCGATCTCCAAGGCTATTCTAAGTGTTTAGGCTCTGGCAAGGACTTTACGAGTACGAAAGGAACTGTGACAAGCTGGTGTGTGCAAAAGTGGGAGGAAGCAGGAGTGGTAATTCTAGGGAAGCTCAATATGCATGAGCTCGGTCTTGGTAGGCATAAGACCCTTCAACCTTTTATCTCCTCCGTTGTTGGAGTACCGCATTCGCTGATGGCATAGATACTACAAACAATAATCCAGTTAAGGGGACCCCACTGAACCCTCATAATCCGCATTACTACACTGGTGGCTCGTCCGGAGGCTCAGCGTATACCGTGGCAGCTGGGCTCTTCCCTGTAAGCCTAGGAGCGGACGGCGGCGGCTCCATTCGTAACCCATCCGCATACTGTGGTCTCTACGGTCTCAAACCCAGTCATAGTCGAGTATCAGGATTTCCCACTACAAGTCTTGCTCCGTCATGCGGAGTCCTCGGTCCTATGGCCTCCAGTATGGCGGACCTCGAGTATGCCTACCGTATCATGGCGATCCCTAATCCCTCCGACTCCATATCGTCAATGTTCCCGGTTCCTGTCCCAAAATCCGTCCGGCAAGATAGGGTTATAGGTATATGTAAACCTTGGTTCGACCTTGCTGATTCTTCCGTGCTGAATGCCTGTCATGCCGCCATTTCCCACTACGAATCATCTGGCTATAAAGTCATAGACATCACGATTCCTTATCTTTCCGAGGGCCAACTCGCCCAGGCCGTGACGATCCTTAGCGAAATAAGCACAGGCGTACCCAGTGTCTCAGGCTTGACCTCGGCCAACAAAATTTTAATATCGGTGGGCAAGCAGACTCCTGCCTCGGACTTCTTAATTGCTCAGAAGATGCGTAATTTGCTGATGCAGCATCTTGCTTTCTTGTTCGAACAACATCCCGGTCTCTTAATTGTAACACCCACAACGCCGAATGCAGGATGGCATATTTCTGGTGGGGCGGCAGACCTGAAAACCGGCGTCAGTGATGCAAATATGAGTGTCAGGAGCATGACTTATGTCTGGCTGGCCAATTTCTCGGGATGTCCAGCGATTTCGATTCCAGTGGGCAGAGTGGATGCGAAGGAAGGGGAGGGTAAGATACCAGTGGGATTGATGGCCCTTGGAGAATGGGGTGCGGAAGATTCGTTGATAGAGTGGGGGAGAGTGGGGGAGCAGTGGGTGTGGGAAAATGGAGAAGACAGAATGGGAAAGCCGGAGAACTGGGTTGATGTGTTGGAGTTGGCTAAGAGCAGACAAGGTATCGGAAAAAGTGACAATTGAAAGGGTACATATCCTCCAAGACTTGGAACAGAGCTGCATCAACAAAGACTCTTCTGGGCTGTGTAACGCTCCTTTTGGCGCAGCTCTGACCATGAATGACAAATGACTTGGGGCTGATGCTCAAAATCGACAGGAAAGTCGTAGTGTTCAACGCCTCATACTGCCACTTGTTTCCACAACTTGCCTGGACAATGACCAGTAAGGCTCAGGTCATCGGAAGGTTCTTTAAAACATGTGTCATGCAAAAGAACAAGGCGCGGCTATGTTGCCTGAGCCGATCTCTGGCAACGAGGACAGCCATTTGAGAGTCCCACATATTATCATTTTGAACATTCATGGCTTGTAGCCTGCGCGATCCCACATTGAAAGCTCACTCGGAAACCTAGACTCGAACTTTTAGAGACTTAGTCCATCATTTCGAGCCGCCAATTTGACGAATAGAGGTCTCTTGTCCCACGTGAACCATGCCTTCTTTTCTGCCCAATCCAACCCAGTCTCTGCACACAACTCCATGTCAAACTCCCACAACATCCGGACTATCACCAGGCGGATCTCTGCCATTGCCAGGCTATAACCGGCCAGCAGTCAGCATGTTTCTTACTACAACAGCAGGATTGACCCTCTGCCGTTGAATCACGGCATGTCTTTTTCCAGCCAGACTGCAGTTGAGGCCTCAAAACTACCGTTTTAACATGGCTAGTAACACTCACTTCTTCCCAATACAGTTCCTCGCCCCTACAGAGAACGGCTGCAGCACATCCTTTTTGTCCGAGTCGAAGCGAGGATCGCCAAGCCAGCGTTCTGGGACAAAAGCTGAGGGATTGGAAAAGTTGTGATGGGAATGGTACGCTGCGTACTGGTTGATTTGAATGCCGGTCTGTGTTTTGCATTGTACCAATATGTTAGCAGGATGCGTGATCGAACGAGGTTGTTTTCTCATCTTCTTGAACTGGCGTGCTACTGCTCAGAGTTGTGCAAATGGTAAAAAAAGGAACATGGGTCATCCAATTGTACTTTAGCTCATATCAACCCTCGCCCTATCGTCAAAGGATGGACGAATCAGAGAACAGGCTACTTACACCACCCGGGACCCAGTAACCGCTGACGGTGTCACCCTCCCCTGGGGCTCGACGTGGCTGGCCGGCCAAAGCAGAGGGGTAGATGCGGAAGGATTCTGTCACGACTGCTTGAAGATACTTCAATTCTCCTATCTTCTGGACATTGATTTCGTCTCTCGTCCTGAAAGCAGCTCGAATCTCTTCGTTTAGTCTTGTCAAACAGTCACGATTCTGCAGTAAGAACCAGGTTACGCCGTTCAACGAAGCTGCCGTCGTCTCGCTACCAGCGGAGATGAAAGTTGCAACATTCTCGTGGATTTCTTCTCTTGTCATGCGACCTTTTTCGTTGTTGTGAGCCAAGATGTAGGAAAGGAAGTCAGGCCTTGTGGTCGCGGTCTTCATCCTTCGCTCCACCTTCTCTGCGGCCATTCTATCATGATCGGCCCTGGCTTGTAGCGCCTTGTTGGAAACGAAAAGACGAAGCAGTCTCTGCAATGGGGGAAAGCGTAACGTGACGCTGAGGAAGACGACGAATTTGAGATAAGACATGAGCATTGCCACCCAAGGATGATAAATTGTGTCACTCAAGCAATGGAAAGATTCTCCAAAAGCTAGGTCGCCGATGACATCGAATGTGGTCCAATGGTACCAATCGGACAGATCCACCTTTCCCTTGGACGGCCCTTCAATCTGCTTCCTGAGACCATTGATGAGGATTTCCACTTGGACTCGAATTAAGGCTTCCTGTTCCTTCAGTGCTGTATTAGAGAAAGCATGACTGAGAAGGCGGCGCATGCGATTGTGGTCAGCGTCATTTGCAGTAAGGATGCTATTTACCCCGGCATAAACCCTGAGGTCCCTGGGAAAGCTGGGGCGTCCCTGACGATGGCCGCACAAGTCTTCCCAGGCTGACGGGGAAATAAAGGAGAGCTCATCGGGAGATATGCGTACTACGTCAGTGGAGTAGCGTTGATGAAGGTCTCTAAGCCACTGAGACAAGGTCCCGTTCCAAGAGACAACGGCGATTGGGATCTTGGTCGCCGCGGCCAGTCTAGGACCGGGAAATGTGGATAGGGGATGGAAGTATACGTTGTATAAGCCTTTGAGGAAAGCATAGACGATAGGCTCAACACAAAGGCCATTGATAAGCTAGCAATATCTTTAGGAAGATTTGATGGTGCTCACCACGGCCAAAAGAACAGCGATATATATGGATGAGTCGCCCATATTCCAAACAGATGCCATCCTGGGTCGGTTATTTCTTTCCTGTAGGTGGAGTAGAGTCTATTTGCGAGATGAGGACAGTCTGTCTTCTGCTGGGGAGTAATTCAAGTATTTCGAGCTGAGCGGCATTAAGCGCCATTTAATGAGATTTGAATGATCAATCAATTTTCTAGTCACACGAACTAGCCCCACGTAAGTTTATATGCATGATGAGGTCAAGGGTTTCGGCTCTTCATCTTCTC